AGAAGGTAAAAACGCTATGCTCATTATTGGTGCGATTGAAGTTCCTCTCCATGCTGAAAGTACTAGGGTCTGTGTGTATAAAAATAACTGCAACGAATGCATTTAGATTTACATATGACAAACTGCCAGGAATTAGCCCATCAGAACCAGAGGATGAACAAACCTTTAAGCGTTGCGGAAGCATAACAAACGCTGGTCAAACACTCAGCGAGTAGATCTGGAGAATGTAGAAATTTTAAGACGGAAACTGCGATTCGCACCACAGCTGCTGATAGCCGACGTGGTGGAAATTACCAAACATCTCAGCGTGAATAGAATCGAGGGTGTGAAACTGGCGGACGTATGGAAAGCGGTCTTAGATAAGCGGAGTTGACACGTGACTGTGTGTAGTTGACAATGCACATAGAATCATTAGCAAAGATAGGGGGTAGAAATCCCGATTAGACCAAAGTTCACAAAATCCCTCTTACGTAATTATCGTAGCACTAGGTCATCCATAAGGGCCGACGAAAGGTGCAAACGATGTTCAAGAGGGAGCATCACGTGGACCCAATCAGAAGAACTTGACCCTAAGCTGGACCGAAATCCATGTATGTTCACCCATCGACTTAACACTTGGTGACCCACCCTAACACACAAAATCCCTCAGTCGACATCTAACGGAAATTCAGCTTGACTTAACTGACTGGCTAACCATCCGCCTTAAATCTTGGCCAATCACGTAACCTAGTCACTTGGCCTGAAGACGCGAAACGTTGCCCGGCAAACGAAATGCTGTAATAAATAAACATTTCTCTTGCTCTCTTAATTCATGGGCATAAACAGTGCGACATAGGCAAATAAAGCGAAAAATTGATGTTGAACAAGCACTGATCAATTCACCTGATCAAATATATGGTGACCAAATTGTCTTTTTTGCCTGGTTTTGAACAGCAATCCTCGATTGGCCAAAATTTATCTTCAGAGCCTCACATTTTAAAGCTTTGGAGTTGCGCAACAAGATTCTGAATGAGGTGACATTTGGATGTCTGGTTGATAACAGTGCAAGATTAAAAGGTGGCCGAAAACCTTCAAGATTTCATTCTGTGAAATTTTCCGCCTCACTTTCCTCTAGGTATTCTTCTGTCCTGCCAATGAAATCATCTCCGAATCCACGGGGAAGGACTAGTAGTCTATATGACAGACAAATATATTAAGCAGCATGGGCGCACGCTCGTGTGGAGAAAGCCCTCTTATGGTTGGTCACCGGGCTGTAGTATGAATACGCTTAAAAACACGAATGAACGCGCACCCCAGTCCGGTGTGGCGATGGATACTACTGATGAACCATACCAGTATTCTACGTTTGGTGGCCAAGCTCCGCCCCGCATCTAATGGAAGGTGAAATTTATTGCGGAAATTGGGGGACCACTTTGCAATGTCCGTTCACTATTGCGTAATAGTCAATGAATATTCGGGAGAGTTTAAAAGGACGTGCGAGAACGTTTAGTTTCTAGATATTATGTGCATACGGGATGTTTACTTTCCTATCTAACAACTCACAACTACTTAGTTCTCAATTACCAGTAAATAACTTTGGAGCAGGGAAATTTCCTCCTTTCGCTTGGGGAAGTGTCGTCACCTATGAAACTGAAGGCATAAGTATGAGTCCATCTTTCTGGCCGCACGAACCGAGGTCTTTTTTCCACACTCTCTCCCTGCGCATCACTGATAGTGTTGTGAAGAAATTATTTGGCGATACCTATTGGTTACGCAAAGTCGCAGCTCAGAAAGAATAGGGAACTCGTGCTCACGGCGCATTCTAAAGACATTCACTGAAAGCAAAAGATCCATCCAAAGTGGACACTTTAAGCCGGTTTAATGCTGGGAGTTAAAAAAACCTAGGCGTAAATCGTTGGTTGCGCAACTCCACTCCACTGATGTACGACTCCTAAGAAAACGTCTTGTGTCTGTAATGGCACTTAACTGAAAGGGAAATACTTTTGGCAATATTTTCAGCGCTCACTACTAAGTGCCAGCTTGGGTATTTTGTCTACACAAACCCGAAATAAGAAACGACCAGCATCTTCGAAAACCAGTCTAGTTGACTCTGCCTATCGTGATGTGATTAAGACAAACTAACACATTCCCCACTTGTTACTTTAAGGACCAGAACTGTGTGCATATCCAAGGGCTTCGTATTTCTGAATCGACATAATCCGCCCAGCTGTACTTTATGACTTAACTCGGATTCCTTTTATCAAGCGCACAACTTAAGCCTTATCATTGTTGAACAGCATTTTGTGGAACTCGGTATTAACAGCTGGTTAATTTCGATAAAACCTAACTGAACATTTGTTCTTTCTTCAATTTAACTATAAAAGAACTCACTTGCTTTCATTGAGCACCAAAGAGCTCTCCACCGTTTATCAATCTGTCGTGTGTTTCATCCTAAAGCAAGATCCAAGCATCTTTAGCCAATAATTTTAACCGAACGGAATTATGACTGACGTTGTTGCACACATACTAATGAATTTATCACCCGGATAAGCATCGGCTAGCAGGATTCATCCTAACCTATGGGTTAAGGCCGGTGTAACCTCAGCACAGTCACAACACAACATTAATAGCGCATTCCTATATCTTCTCACACTAACAACAGAATATAAAGGTGCATGACAATTTGGACCACAGACTAGAAAAATGGCTGATTTGGATGAGGGACGGGATTTCTGAATAGCCATTTAGAAGGACGACAATTTAAAAGTAAGTTTGAGATCAGTAGCCTCTAGGTGATCACTGCACGTAGTTCTGAGAGCCTCGACAGATAGCCGGAACTGGTGTACCGTTTGTATATTCGAACGGATTTGATCGGAAGCAGGCAGATGTTCAGATCTCAATAGTACCGACGGTCGTCACGTAAGAAGATTCTTTTATTTTAACCCACCACATCACAAAGTGCAGACTTACCTATAAAGAAGATGGAAATTTGATTCAACCGTTTGGCTGCTTAAATGTCATCAGTAGTTATTGCTAGTCTTTTCATCTAGCTTGGCAGTTGGACTGAAAATTTCTCATTACCAATCGAGGTGACGTCGTCAGTGCGGGGGTTGTGCCTGGGTATGAGTAGTATGTGAATGAGCAAAAAAATGAAAAAAATTATTTCCATGGTGTTTTTATCCCATTGTTGCTCGCTATGAAGCTGTGTCCCAGCAACTCGGAAAGACGTCCTTGGATGCATTGTAGGCGCGTCACATAAAGTTTTCAGTTGATGGGGTTTTCAGAATGCATCCGAGAAAAAATCTGCAGCGTCAACTACACGCAAGAACGCTTGCATTGCTGAACACGAAAATCGACGAAGCATCAAACTTTAAATTCAGGTGAACTACCAAAAACTTGGAAATTTCACACAACAGTAGATCTGTCCATTATAGAAAAATCTAAGATATGTTCCTCGAGTGAGTGCGAAATTTGATTTCTTCTAAAATGGTTGAGTCGTTCTACAATTCCCGCTAAAAAAAACAAAATGTCAGAGGAGCGGTACCTGAAGGGCAAAGACAGCCGGCACACTCTCCGAAGCCTGTAACCAATGAGTGATGAATCTAATGGAGAAAACATAATCTGGTCAGGCGTCAAGCCATAGATTTTTGTTTTGAACGCACATAATGTATTTCTGTGTAAAAATGTTTTCTAGTGATCCACAGTTATTTTTGTTAATTTTTTTGTCAGTCACAGATCTGTGTTGATTTACAACGAAAGTCACACGATGGGAGAAATTCTAGCATGTGAATTTCCGAATCTGATGTTGTATTCCTTTTGTTCGTCACCAAATATTCCCGATCAGTTTATAGCACCAAAAAGACGTCAGCGGCAAAAATAAGTACAGATAAGACAGGATAGCAGCAAACGACACCTGGGTAGGCCAAGGAGTGGTGGTTAGATTTGCCTGATAACAGAAGAACAAAATTTAAAATGGATGGCTTGGCCTTAAGGATAATCTGTAACCCAGAAGGGAAAGCATAAGGGTCGAGCTATATTAGACCTAAGAACTTGGAAGAATTCAATTGAATTTACCAACAGAGCTGATCATGCCCTCCACATATCAGTGCCCATCTCCCACTTCAGCACTTAGCACTCTTAACATTGCCGGTGGGTTCGGTTACACTTACGTTACAGTTAACACTTGATCTGTCCCGTTTCTTGTTATTCTTTGGAACAAGTGCCAGACGTGAACCACAAAGGAATAGTTGTGTTGAATTTTAGTGTCATCGTATGCATTTCGCATCTGTTGTAGATATCATCATGTCTGCTTTTGAAAATGGTACTTTCAAAAGCTGTCTACCGAGTTTCTATCGATTTTTCACGGATGTGTTAAAAATTGCTCCGCCAGCTGGTCGATAGAATGTGACCCTATCCTCACTTCACTTATCGTAATACGTAGCAAGGATTGTATGAGCGAGCTCTCTGGCTTATCGGTTTCATGTGCCGTGACCAAAAGACATAATCGAACTTGAAATTCAGTTGAAAAACACTTTCATACTTATCACCGAAAAATCTGCAAGGTAACACATAACTCAAAGACTTTTATTAGATTGACAGATTTCGCTGAATAGGTGAGTCTTACGTTTGTGTTTTCTTGCCTCACAAGAATGATTTTCTGTATGGTTGCGCGTGAACACTTCTTCGCTCCCACTGCCGTCAAAGTCATCCGCCTGGATACGAGTGTTTTTTTTTACAAGCGACAGCTTCGTTTGCCACGGCCGTTTTTCGTCTGACGTCATGTGTATCAACTAGATTATGTTAATTTGAGGTCAGTTTTAGACGCGCACACACCCAGGCACTATTTATACGGTTGCCAAACGGTCGGCACAACTTTGGAAAGGGACTTCCACACTGCGAACAACTCGCACGGTCGGCTTGGTAGCCTATTTCAGAACTGTTGGTATTTTATAGTGTTGCTGACAGACCAAGTGCTTCTAAATCGACAGCAATAGGTGCAAGTGACAGTCACATTTTCTTGAATGAGTAAAATGTCAAACAAGGATACAGGAAATTCCATTGAAACAAGTAAGTTAAAGATGTTTAACCGCTGTTATCTAAATTAAGATGACGTTGAAGCTGCTATCGTGGATGAAGTAGAATGTAACGATTCAGACACCACCTACTGTGTGGAGAACTTTAATTACCAGGTGTTTAGCGGTACAACGGCTTCAGTTCCACCTCTGACCAAGCCACAGAAGGTCAAGTACTCATTCAAACGCCCCGGGTTGATTGCCAGACAACTTTCCTACAAACTTCGGTCAATCAACTGGAGTGCAACTAAGGAGCAGCTCTCTATTAAAAGCAACTCCCCGATGCAGTTATTACTTCTAGCGGTTTTGATTATCCTGTTTTTCGTTATTTTAACCTTGTTAATCTTGAGTCAGAAAAACCTGAGTGCCGAACGCTGGCTTCGTACGCACCAGTGTCAGTCGTACCGCTGTCTCAACGCCGCTGGTCTAATGTTTGAGAAATTGAACAAGTCTGTCTCACCATGCGACAATTTTTATCAGTACGCTTGTGGACAACACTTTCAACCACATCATCCCACCGCGCAACCGGATACGCCAAATGCCCAGGGAGGTCAAGCGTATCAGTCAGGTTTCAACAGTGAAGCTGTAATGTATCTCAATAAGGAAAAGGCTGGGAAACTGCTGCGAATTCACCGACCGGCCATCGATCATCTAACCCAGATAAACATACATGCTATTATCTCTGGTATGAATCACATCTACTCCACTCAGTACACAAAAGCCAATTCGGCCAAGTACAAAGTTTCACAATGGTATCAATCTTGCACGCACCGGACAATGAGAAATTGGTATGGAACTCGTACGTTCCTTTCCACGGCGGTGCCAGCACTTGGTGGTATTTGGCTTCTTGATAGGAATGCTACTAACGATACCGGGGCGACAGCAGCCACAAACGACTGGCCAACTAGATTCTTCTGGAGTACTGCTCTCACAAAGGACATAGCAATGAAAAGTGATTGGTCATGGATGGAATCTGTTAAGAAGCTACAAGCGGCGCTTCATGTACCCGCCTTTGTAGACCTCAGCGTACAGTCTGATCAACAATCCATGCCGATAGTCTATGTAAGTCTGTCGATTTTTTGATAGCCAAACGTTTACTTTAAATAAATGATGTGGGGTAAACGACGAAATCAGTGATGTAGACTAAACTATAATTGCTTGTGCTTCGGAGACGCCTATCCTGTTTGATGGCTTGCCATTGAATTGCTAAATAACGTGAGAAACGAGTGGTAACTTAGTGGCCCAACCATGGGAGTTCAGCCAGTACACTGTTAGATGAAGTGCGTTTTGATTTTACATCATTAAAAATGGTGGGAAACAGAAAACAGTAACAAAGACTATATTAGCAATGCCATTTTCAATTCCAGCTTAATTATAAGACTAAAAATTGTGTGAGCGTGTGTTTTTATGCAATCAGTAATATTTTCACATGTGACGCTCGTAAGTATCCACAATCAAATCTTCCTCTATGACCTCCCTCTAAAAATATTAGGTTTGGAAGAACGCAACGAACAGATTCCTAATGAAAACTCGTCGGTCTGTATGATTCTGTAATTGTTCGTGATTCACAGTATACCCAGGTGCAGAATGATAGAAATTTGTCACTTACTGCACCCTTTCCCTATATTTCAAACATTTGTTTTCGATGTTAAAAATCTTCCGCCTGGGGTTTCACGATATACTGTTACTTTGCATTTATCGCAGAACAGTAATAAAAACAGGGGAGTCGGGTTCTCTACCACTTGATAGTTTTTCAGAGAGTTGGCTGTGTGAGAAATATTTCAGTTGCTATAGATACTTCCGTTTAAAGGTTACGTATGCAATTTGATAAATAAATTCTAGTAGAAACCTTCAACAACGTTCGATGTGCTCTGATGGCTGTGCCTTGCGATGGAGATCCAACAGAGGCCAAACATGAACCTTTGCTTCCCTGGAATTCACGATGTTGGCTCGCGTAGATACACAGATCTTCAGTGTTGCTAGCGCACACCTTAGGTTGGAGAGACGGGTTAAATTGCAATACAAGATGTAGTCGTGTCAATGGTACAGGTAGTTATTTTCATCAGGTTTTGTGGTATCTGAACAGCCACCACAACGATTCGACATGGAATCCTTTTGTATTTAAAAAATTTGGGTCACTATGTTTTCAGAGAAAGACGTGGTGAACCAAATGAGATCCATTATTTAAAGTATGCCATCCTTGTGATGTCGAGTTCAAAGATATAGACCATGAAAAATCCTCCCAGTAAACCGCTTCGGCACTAAATGTCACGGTGTTGAATATCCCTGGTGTAATTCAGAGTAGTTAGATAAATCCCCCATAGTAAAATGACCCACAGCCGATTGGAGAACATAAAAAATGACGATAATATCAGAAATAAACATTCCAGTCCAACGAGAAGAAAGAACAGTGGATGATCCTCTGAAACTTAATTTGGTGACCGTGAGAGATTTCACGGAATCCAAGCGGAAAATTTTAGTTTATATTGTTTTTGGCTGAGTGTACTACACAATGGACGTCTTGTGTCGCAGCTGATACTCTATTCGGGATATCGCATTATATTTTCTATATAAAACACACAATCCTTCGACAGCTGTCCAAGAGCAGTAGCCTCATAAGTAGTGTGTTTCGTAAAGAAGACAGCCGGCAACCGTTGTTCACCTGTGAATTTGTGTGCATTGGATGTGAGCTACTCTCACCAGCCTAAAGCTGAAGTCCATATGACCGCATCTCTTTTGGAAACGTTTTCCCCCGAACGTCTTATAATCTCAGTGAGCGAATGCTGTAAATTTCGAAAAGTTTCTTCGTGTCATATAAAATAAGTAAAACCGACTGAGACACAGTGTGCTCAGCCTTTGCATGATTCTTCCCGCAAAACGGTTTTCGGGAGTTCTCAGACCCATGATGTAGCGTGTGAATTCCTATAGCTTTAAGACTAACTTCAATCCTGTTGAGGTGGTGAACCAAACACCGTTAAAGATTGGAGTATACAAGTTGCTCATAGATAAAACATGTTCTCTAGGCTTCGAAAATACACGATGGACTTCCTCAGCCAGTTTGGCTAAAGGTGGAGAGTACTGTAATTAGCTGCTCTCTCTGCACCCCTTTAGCTACCCTTATTTATTGTGATTCACTCCAACAATGTATAATATTACTTCGACCCCTCAAGGTTTACAGATTCAAAAACGCAAATTACGACCACCGCAATTCGTAAAATGTCATGGAAATTGAAAGTAATAGTTCGGTACTCATGACAGGTTTGTGAAAAATGCAGTCAAGCTTATTACATAGGAGCCTCTACGTTATTCAAACTGTAGTTTACTAATAGAAGCTGTTTGTTTGTATATTCCACTGTTCATTTGTTTCTAAGCAACATTCAGAAGTTAGACAACTATGCTGAAAACATGAAGTGTAACTGTCCGGGGTCTTTCCTATCTAGCCTCCCATAGTTGTTATCGGTAGACGTAATTTGTGACCTCAATCTACTAACTAGGTTGACTTATAGGAGAGTTCATGTAGCGTGTGCAGGTAAAAATTAGCATCTTTTGTAAACATACTTGCATGCGAACGTAGGCTGAGAGCGTACATTCTGTTACGTATACCACTGATGTGCAGTGTCTCCGTAACGGTATGACGGTGACTGAAAACTGACGCAGTGGGTACTGAGTCGTACAGGCACTAGAACGTTCATAACACCACGCTTAGATTCAACGGGCTGAGAAACGTCGTGTGCTCAGGGCGTATCTATACTGACTGAATGTAATTTCGATAGGTGGATCTGCTCTGTGCAAGAGCCCACAATGCTTTGCTAATGAAATTCGGGTCACACATGATAGTAGACTTTCGGTTCAGTTGCTGAACTATTTGAATTTACACCCACCCTCCTGAATGTTACACTTTTTAGCCCGAAACTCTGACACTTGTCTACACCACCTAAATACCGTATTACGATTCTTAACTCCATATCAGACACCATCCCTCCTTCCACAATTTCTACAAGGGTGACTGCCAAGAAACAGAACAGTAAATTATGAGATTGGTGCTTCTCACAATCAAACTCCTTGGGGTGGAACAGAGTTTCGCACGATAAAATTTCAACGATAATAAGTCACCTCTCCTTGCTGCGAGCTAAATCATACGAATTAATGTTGACGCTCCGAAGGGGATAACCTACTGAGTAAGACGGGGAAGAGTACGGCTTGTTACTCTTTGACAAATCAAAATTCTGAGGAGTTCTTACCTTACTCCACCTAAATCTCCCATCACTAACGTGCCTAATGACTACAAAATAGTAGAGATCTGTTTGTGGCAAGCTTGATTACTCCGAATCAGGGTCAAAGAACATTTTTAACTGTGCACCAGAAAATCATGTTGACATTTTATTTTTAGGATCTAGAATGACATAGAATTAATGAGAAATCGATAACTTCTAGTTTCATTGTCTTGCGCGACTCTTTCAGTGTGAATTCTTTAATGAGGGTGAAATGTTTTAGGGCACAGTGTAAGATGTAAAAAGTTACTGATAAATGTTTCGAGTCTTACGCCACATTAAGGGGCTCCGGATTGTGAGTTACTG